AAATAAAAGTTTTAAAAAATAGGAAAAAATACGATTTTTTGTATAAAAGAAACATTTTGTTTTTTCTAGTTTTCACTGTGACTTTTTATACCACGTGATCTTTAAACAAAAATTAAAATGTGACCTATATATTACGTCACGCAAAAACCTTTGTTTTTCTATTACCTTGATTTTGTTTAATCTCAAAATTTTTTGGAGATTCGGCCATGTAGATCCATTTACTTTTCATAACGGTTTTTTTTCGCGCGCCTCTATATACCACATTCACACACGCGCGCTCGGTATTTCTACCACAGACTTGATTGATTCGGATGAGAATAAGACTGCAGGCCTTTTTTTTCTACATCTCCGCAGCTTTCTTTTTTTCGATGGTGAAAAATTTTACGAAAAAGAAACGACGACGACGACGACGACTACGAGTTCCCGTTCACTCACCTTCTCTATTTGGAAATGAAAGTTTTTGGTGTTTGTACGCGCGCGCGTGTGTGTACGTATGTATGTGAAATTTTGCACGCCTGAATTTTTAATTCCCATTCGTGGTGCCTTTCTCACTCGCGTACGCACATCAGGATAATTATATTTTGCCTCTGGGAAAAAATTTCACGGAATAATTCTTTTTAATTGACAATCTTTTGAAATTATCTTTATTTACGTGGCTTTTGAAAAACTACTGTTTTTTTACATACTATTTCACATCGTTTTCAACATAAATATGTTTTCAACTCATAGCAAATATCTTTTAGCGCTACATTTACGATCCATTTACTATGTAATATTTTACACAATTTGGCTAATATTACAAACATGTTGCATTGCGTTGTCAAGATATTTGGTAAACTTATACGTTCATACTACTTGGTATCATTGTAATGTACTCAAGAGGGGTCAAAATACAGTTTTTTCGAGCTATTTTTAGGCACGACTGCTTCACAGAAGTGCCATATATTTTCACTGAAGCAAAAAATGTAACGACCACTTCTAAAGTGATTTTTTTTTGTTCATACACAGTCGAGATCTTCAGAGTAGATCTGAAAAAAACACAATACTTTTGATCACTCGTATAGACCCAAAACAAGGTATTTCTGTGCCTTCATTTTTTTTTTCATTTGTTTTATGATCTCCAAATTGAAGAAAATATTGAAATATGGAAAAATTAGTTTTTTTGCTGATAAATTAAAGATTAATGCATGACCGGGGAAAGTTATAGATCTTATTCTACATTTCTTAGATACACGTTTACATCTAAAACATAATCATTACAATCCAAACAATAATTAAAAAAAAA